GCCTGTGCCCTATCGCGACCGAAGCCGGGAGGCCGACCTTCCGCCTCCGAGCCGCTGATCCAGACGGAGAGTGCCGCTGGACAGCCGCAAAGTTCGCTGCGGGATGCGGGGATGGAAGTCCAGTGATGGACCCACATCTCCGCATCCTCCAGGTGAACGTAGGCCACGGTGCCGATGCTCAGGATCTTCTGCTCCAGAGCATGGCACAGTGGTCCATCAACATCGCCGCTATCGCCGAGCCATATGTCCATCGGTTTCTCGGGCCTGCCTGGGAGACCGACTTGGACGGCACGGCGGCCCTAGTGCACGGTACCGCAGCCGGCACTCCACCTCTTGCAGTAGTTGCAAGGGGACGGGGCTGTGTAGCGGCGATAGTTGGAGATATAGCGGTCGTGGCCGCTTATTTCACGCCGAACCGAAACCTAACTGAGTACGAGCAATGGCTCGCTCAGCTGGCCGTCGTCGTCGATGCCTGTCGCCCCCACCCGGTTCTTGTGCTGGGGGACTTCAACGCCTGGTCGCAGGCTTGGGGTTCCCTGCGCACGAACCCGAGGGGCAGGGCATTGGAGAACTGGGCTGAAAGATTCGGCCTAGTTCTCCTAAACCGGGGGGCCGTGGCCACGTTCGTGACGGCGAGGGGTAGTTCGATCGTGGACATCTCGTTCGCATGCCCCTCGCTAGCGCGTCGTGTCCAAGGCTGGCGCGTCGTTGTCGGGGAGGAGACAGGTTCGGATCACCGATATATTCGGTTTGACGTCTCCGCCCCTGCAGATGGCGCGCCGGTCAGACCGGCACCACCTGAACCACGTTGGGCGCTCAAGCGCTTAGATCGCGACCTCCTCCTGGAAGCCGCCATCGTACAGGCCTGGGCTCCTGCGCCGGACAGGCCTGTCGACGTCGATGCTGAGGCACAGTGGTTCCGGGAGGCCATGACCCGCGTCTGCGATGCGGCGATGCCTAGGGCTCAGCCCAATACTGCAAGGCGCCAGGTCTACTGGTGGTCGCCGGAGATCGCACGGCTGCGTCAAGCCTGCGTGACCGCGCGCCGCCAGTGGTCCAGGTTCCGCAGGAGGCGTCGCCGCCCCGAAGATGCGGCAGCGAGAGAGGCGGAGCTGTTAGCGGGTTACAGGGTTGCCAAGAGGACCCTTCAGGCAGCGATAAAGCGGGCCAAGAGCGAGGCCCGCCGCGAGATGCTGGAGACACTGGAGCGGGATCCGTGGGGACGCCCCTACCGTATGGTTAGGGGCAAGATGCGCCCATGGGCCCCGCCGCTCACACGGTGTCTTCAGCCAGAGCTGCTTGAGAGGGTCGTTGGCTCCCTGTTCCCAACGCGAGTGGTGGAGCATACTCCGCCACAGATGGCTCCGCCTCCGGCGCTTGAGGCGCCTAACGTGGATGCCGACGACGTGCCTGAGGTCACTGGGGTGGAACTAAGGGTGGCGGTGTTACGGCTTAAAGCCAAAAACACCGCCCCGGGACCCGATGGCATTCCTGGCCGAGCGTGGGTCCTGGCCTTAGTCGACGAGGCTCTCGAGCCCCGACTGCGAGGGTTCTTCAGCGCATGCCTCGAGCGGGGCCAGTTTCCGAAATTGTGGAGGACGGGGAAACTGGTCCTCATCCGAAAGGAGGGGCGCCCGGCGGACTCACCGTCCGCCTACCGGCCCATAGTGTTGCTTGACGAGGTGTGCAAGCTCTTTGAAAGAGTGATTGCAAGGCGCCTCGTCAAGCATCTCGTGATGGTTGGGCCGGATCTGGCGGACAACCAGTACGGTTTCCGTCAGGGGCGCTCCACCGTGGATGCGATCATGCGCGTGAAGGCTCTGGCGGAGGAAGCAGTCTCCCGGGGCGAAGTGGTGTTGGCGGTGTCCTTGGACATCGCCAACGCGTTCAACACTATGCCCTGGAGCTGCATCAGGGAGGCGCTCGTGTATCACGAAGTGCCTCTCTACCTCCGCCGCATAGTCGGGGCATATTTGTCGGAGAGAGCCGTCGTCTACCCCAGTAGGACCGGTCTCGGTAGGCGTGAAATGTCGTGCGGTGTTCCGCAGGGGTCGGTGTTAGGGCCACTCTTGTGGAACATCGGCTACGACTGGGTGCTTCGTGGTGCCTTCTTGGATGGTGTCGCCGTCGTGTGCTACGCGGACGACACACTCGTGACGGCGCGCGGCAAGACGCACCACGAGGCAACCCTGAGGGCCACGGCCGGGGTTGCCCAAGTCGTTGAGCGTATCCGGCGGCTGGGTCTCGAGGTGGCTCTGCACAAGTCCGAGGCCCTGTTCTTTCACGGGCTTCGGAGGAAGCCGCCTGAGGGATCTAGCCTCACGGTAGGAGGCACTCGCATCGGCATCGAGCCCTCGATCAGGTATCTGGGGCTCGTACTCGATGGCCGATGGGACTTCGGATATCATTTCCGAGGTCTGGTCCCCAAGTTGGTTGGGGCAGCGCGTGCGTTGGCGCGGCTGCTGCCCAACATGAAGGGACCCGATGACTCCTGCCGGAGACTCTACTCGGGGGTTGTGCGGTCCATGGCCCTTTACGGGTGCCCAGTATGGGCGGGGGCCCTGAAGGCCAGCAACGTCGCGATACTGCGGCGACCGCAGCGAATGCTGGCCATCAGGATCATAAGGGGGTACCGCACGATCTCCTTCGAGGCGGCGAGTCTCCTGGCCGGAACTCCACCGTGGGACCTGGAGGCGAGAGCCCTTGCAGCACTGTATCAGTGGCGCAAGGAGGCGCAGGAGTTGGGTCGATACCCCGAGATTCGAGAAATCGATGACCGGAAATCCCAACTCCGCCAGGTCATCATAGGGGAGTGGAGGGAACGACTCGGGCAACCGAGCGCCGGGCACGCCGTCATTGCGGCGGTAAGACCCGTTATGGAGGATTGGCTCGAGAGGCGTCACGGGACCCTCTCATACCGATTGACGCAGGTGATCACTGGGAAGGGATGTTTCGGAGATCACCTGTGTCTGATCCGCAAGGAGCCAACGCCTGAGTGCCACCACTGCGATGGCCAGACCGTGGACACGGCTCTCCACACGCTGGCAGAGTGCCCGGCGTGGGTTGAGCAGAGGCGAGACCTCGTGGCGGCCATCGGAGTGGGAGTTCTCTCGCTCGATAGCCTGATTGCGGCTATCGTGCGGAGCGAGAGTGCGTGGAACTCTGCCGTCTCCTTCTGCGAGCAAGTTATGCTCGCGAAGGAGACGGCGGAGCGGGAGCGGGAGAGGTTTAGAACTCTCCCGGCCCGCCAGGCCCGGGCACGGGCCAGGCAGCGCAGGCGACTCAGGCGCCGGAGGTCGCAGAACGACCTCCGTCCTCCATAAGCGCAGGCCTGGGGGTGACAGGTGAGGCCATCTGTCACCCTAGCAGAAGCAGGCCGGGGTGGCGGCGAGCGCGTTGCGAAGCGCGCTCGCTTCCAGGGAGCACAGGGAACATGGGGTTCCCACACGGGGCGGGGGTCGTCTACTCGTCTGTAGATGACCCGAGGTATGTCGGGGCACCAGGGCCTTCCTTTCTAGGGTATACCTGGTTCCCCGGCTATTAGTACCCGGCGAAGGCGTGCGGTTTTAGTCGGTTCGAGTCCGACATGCCACCGACAGGTGGTATCCGAGGGGATTTCCGCACGGAAAAAAAAAAAAAAAAAAAAAAAAAAAAAAGGGTTTTTCATGCTCACACGGTTATTTGCACGATACCTATGCCTAAAAACCAGTTTATTTTTTGTAGCTCTCTCTCTGTTTGTTCCGGGTAATTTTCTGAACGGCTTGACCGATTTTGATAATATTTTACTACTAGGTAGCTGTCTATATAAGGAGTAACTTACGATATTTTGCCTCTCAGCAAAACCCTATAAAAAAATTTCACAGTCCTGGAATCGAACCCACTAAGACAGCGCTTTTCAAATAAGTCTACTATAATTAAAGTGCTACCAAGTTGGATGAAGAAAAGAACGCCACGGCGGATTTCACGAAACCAAACACCTCAGATAATGAAATAAATCTAAACTTCTATTCTGTTATATTAAAGATAAAATGTTTTTTCTTTAATTGGTTGCTTAACACGTTAACCTCTAGAACTACTATTCGGATTTTAAAAACCTGTTAATCCATACGGTCTGTATCTATAGGTATGTTCGGGGTAATCTGCGGTATAACTGATCTGACTTTGAAAATTCTTTCACTGTTAGAAAGGTATATTATTCCTGAGTGCTATAGTATATATACTTTTTACCGCGACAACCGACATACACGATGACGGAGTCTCGGGCGAAAGCTAGTATTGGAAAAGTATTTATTGACGAAAGTTATGGGCTATATGATGTGTGTAACATCAAGAAACGAATCAGTGAGCATAAACGGGTGTGCAACTGCGTGAAAGAGCTACTTAAAAATATAATGATAACGGAGTATTCCACGGTTAACGGCAATTGTCTTACTTCTTCATTTATGAATAGTGTTTTATTGAACTGGCCAGTTTGACTTGTTATAGCTTTTAATTGTTTTAAATCATTTGCAACTGCATATTGCATTCTACGTATGTAACGGCCACTTGTACCTCGGGTCATAACAAAAATTACAGAAAATAAAAATTCTCAATGGTGGACCTTGCATAGCTTTACTTACCCGTAGTGCAACCAGTTGGACATATCGGTTGGACCACGGTGCCGAGATGGCCTATACAGCAGTCTCATATTCCAAATTTAAATAAAATTTATTAGTTATTATGAAAAAATAACGGTTTTTGGTGTTTTTCTTTGAGATTTTATTTTCCCTGCAATGTGCAATAATAGTATGTTTGTACACGACGACATTGTTGTACATTGTCAGATAAATCTGATTAAAGATGTGTGTGATATGTGAAATGTACACACTCAAACCACAACAATAATATTCGTGAGTGTATCGTTTGATGGGTTAAAAAAAGTTAGATTTTTTTAAAAGGCAATGGTAAGCATAGTCTAGAAAATACCTCGGTTTATATTTAAAAACTGAAGTGGTACTAACCTTGTTTGTTGATATCCCATAAAACAACCGTACAGCCGAGTCGAGATAGTCTCAGGGCGATGAGGCTACCTAGGCCGCCGCCGCCACCAGTCACTACAGCAATAGCACCATTTAAGTTTTTTTTCTTGTGTCCTACAACAGTTCTATACATAGCTTGTATGACATATCCTATACCGACGATGACAAACATTATAACGTCTATAATGGCTTGCACGACGGTGTACTTGTCTCTCATACATTCTGGAATCTCCCTCGTAAGGGGTCCCGGCCTCATGCCATTGATATATTCTTGAGTTTCCACCGACATTGCTTTTTATTATGTTAATTTTGTGTTCAACTACTGAGCATCACTTTTCACTATTTTATTCACTACACTTGTCCTGAACCTGTAACAAAAATAAAATGAAAATTAATTTAGAAAAAATTGTCAGTTAAATATTATATGTAAAAAAATCTTGGCAGTTTTTCCTAAGTTCACTGGCCTGTTAGCCTATTAGGGATCCTGACTTCTGAGCCCGGGGTTGTGGGCTCGAATCCCACCCAGGACAAATAGTTCTGTACGCTTATTTTTGCAGCTGCTTTTCCAGTCCTATACACTGTATTTATCACTTAAGCAACATATTTCTAGAAGCCATGTGCTTCTAGAAATATGTTGTATTCGTATAACTTGTCAATATTATCATAGCCTTATTGTAATGTTTTCAAATATCTATGGACGTTTTACATTGTTGAACGATAGTATAACTATATCAAAGGCCTATTATGGGATTCTTATGGTCGTAGTAGTTAGGAATGTAATAGTCGGACATTGTTTTTAGTTTATTATCTTTGTATTGTATTGTAGTGATTTATAATTGTGTAGATATGACACAACTTAATTAAATATCGCCGCAAATGTATTGTGATATACGTAACCCTTACAATCAAGATACAACTTTCTCTCATATTTTTGCCACGCCTTGTTTTGTCAAAAATATTAAAAAAATAGAACAAGGACGAGTCTAACACACATCAAGATTTCTGTATTAACTTATACATGATCGTAAATAGTTCGTCACTATTCGTCCAATGTCGAGTTCGAGGGCTCTGACTATGTTGCACTCTCTTCTCCACTCACCTAACTCACCTACCTACTTAAAATCCCACTTCCAATATCTCTGCTCTAATTATGACAAAACTCTTCGCTTTTCTAACAATCTTCTTCTTCTTTATCCTGCACATATTTTCAGTATGGTCCATTCCTTCTTCCCTGTTCAAGTTGTAACCCTTTGGAACACACTCCCACTAGAAATCACGATGTCCAATAACCCATCTACTCTTAAGCTGAAAGTACGGCAGCTGTATAGAAGCTTGTTGACGGAGTCATCAGAATAACACTTTAAGATTATCTTTATTATCTATGTTTTATATTTTGATATTTATTATGATATTTATATGTATAAGCTCTATGTATGTATATACCTACCTATAGGATTTTTTCTTCTTTGTTACATTCTTTAATTCAGTCTCATCCTTACCTGCCCCAAATATACAACTGCCACACACAGCTTTGCTAAACCTAAAGGTTTGACTGGAACAAAAAGCCTGTGGCCAAGTCCGCCTCATGCAGTAGTTTGCAGGAAGTCTCAAAAAATAAATAAATACCCAGTATGTATTTTAGTTGGTAAACCTTATTACTTATTATTACTTTTAAATAACTATTTCATTATCAGTATCATTACAGCATAATAACAGCTATAAAAATTTATTGATCTACTATATTAACTGCATTATAACCTTCGAGCCGATAACCGATTGAACAATAACTAAACATTAAGTTATGTATATTTTCTAGAAACTTTTTTTTTTATTGAATAGGAATAACAAACAGCTACAACATACAGTTTACAAAATTATCTAAACAAATATTGCCCTTATGTTATATTGTAGCCCACAATGCTATTCACAAATTAACAGAAATAAGTATAAAATACAGTATTAAACACGCTCATATTTGTACAGGTTGTAATATTCATACATTAGTCGTTAAAGTTATTCAGTTTCTTAGTGGTAATTATGAAAATTAGAACAAGGATTGTTGTTAATGCGGTTGTGTTATTATAGTCTAATTCTTTAAGCAAAAGGCCTTTGAACTTGCTTATTGAGCTGGCGAAAATATCAACATTAATGAATATTTTGTTTTAAGTGTCTAACATGCGACGCATCGGCGAGCGCATAACAGTGTTGGTACGGCATTTATTCACTGAAAATGGTTTGCCTGCGCACACTTTACTTCTGTAAATCCTTCTGGGGACTGTATAGCATGGCATATTATTTAATTCAGTTAAATTTGTTGGTTGCGATTTTATACAGCGCTAAATCCTCAATGTACTTTCGTCTCGAGCTGAGAGTCAATATTTTATATTTAACTAGCAATTCATTATACGGCAAATAGAAACCGTGGTTCCTATAGTGCATTGCACGTAAATATTTGCGTTAGACATTTTCAATGATATCTACATATTTGTTGTAGAAGGGGTTCGAGATCGGCACTGCATACTCCAGTTGTGAGCGAAATAATGATTTATATAGATGTAAGTAGGAGCAAGGTCTTTTGAAGTCGTGAGTAAATCTCATAATGAACCCGTAAAGCTTATATGCTTTGTTGACTATGTTGTCAATATGAAGATCTAGGCTGAGTTTCGAGTCGAGTGTTACACCGAGATCTGCTATAGAAGTGACCTTACTAAGGGGAATATTACAAAGTTTGTATTTAAAACTAATAACATTTTTATTTTTTTGTAGTTTAAGTACTTGCATTTGGGTAAGTTTAAGTGAAGTTTGTTATTGTAGCAGTAGGTTGTCAGTCGGTCCAAGTCCTGTTGAAAAAGGGCACAATCCTCGTAATTTTTAATGGGATTATAAACTTTAAGGTCATCAGCATACAGGAGGTATTTAGTATTTAAAAAACACTGATTTGTGTCGTTTATAAAAATAATAAACAGTAGAGAGCCAAGACTTGAGCCTTGTGGAACTCCGGAAGTGGCTTTTATGATGTTTGATTGGAAACCATTAATTCCGACCCTTTGACAGCAGTTCGTAGCATAAAAGCAAAACCATCTGAGCAGGTTGCCGCGTATACCGTTATATGCAATTTTATTTAATAATATTTCATAAACCACTTTGTCAAAGGCCTTCTGAAAATCGGTGTAAACAGCATCCACTTGAACTCGATTGTCAATGTTGTCAAATAGAAAACTGGTAAAATTTAAATGATTAGTGATAGTTGATCGTTGTTTGACGAATCCATGTTGTTGTGGTATGATTATGTTGTGAAACGCTGGGTATATTTCGTCGTGTACAAGTCTTTCAAAGAGCTTTGACAAAGCAGACAAAATAGATATCGGACGGTAATTTTCAACGTTACTCTTAGATCCACCTTTGTGTACGGGAGTAATGTTGGCACGTTTCCAGACAGCGGGAAACACCCGGGGAGATGCATTTTATTGTAAATTAAAAACAATGGCTTATAAATATACGATGCACTAATTTTTAAGAAGTGTGGAGGTATGCAATCGTTTCCAGTCCTTTAGACGGGTCCAAGGATCTAATAGCTTCAAGGACATTTTTTCACTGAAACGGAGGTTACAGATATTCAAATCGAGTATGGAGGATGTCTCCAATGTTTAAAGTTAGTTGAAACTGGTTCATATACCGAAAAGAAGAAACTGGAAATAAACTCCAGATGGTTTTACGGTCACTAGATTCCACGTTACTATAGTGTAGCTTAGCAGGTATATATAGGTTTATCTTTACGGTTCGAAATATAAGTTTACGCACTTCACTTTAAATCTGACCCTGCACTGATTATATGTTTCATAATCTGAGACATTTTTGTACTTTTTCCATTTAATCCAAGCCTTATGATTTTTTAAGTGTGTGAACTAAACTAGATATCTTGACGAACGACAGCCCGCTAAAGGTTCCTCAATTATGCTGTATATTCTACTATAAAAATTTTTTACGGCTTCTTCCGGATTCAACTGACTGAGGAGTTCATGCCAATCAATCTTTTCGATTTTAAGATTAATGTTTTCATAATCAGCTTTATGTCCGTGTGGTGACGAATTAAGAATACGGAATGTCCCCACCCACGGGATGAATAGGGGTGGCCCTATTCATCCCGTGGGTGTCGTAAGAGCCGACTAAGGGAGCAAACTACGCAGGACAATAGCACTGCAAAGAGAAGGAAAACTTGAATCAAACCCTATATCAACCCGTCTGGCGAGTGTGGTATAGTAGGCCAGAACCTCCTTTCTAAGGAGAGGCCTATGTCCAGCAGTGGCCTGTTATAGGCTGTTGATGATATTTTTTTAACGGTTGTCTATTCATAGGTTGTTTGATAATGTTTAGATTGATTTCACACGTAAAAGAAGGGTGATAGGAATCAATGGTTGACAAAGGGTGCAATATACAATTAATTTTACAATTTAGTACTAGTACTTTTCCCTTAATGTTTTTAAGAGTGTTATATTGACAAGCGCTTAAAAATAATATTAAATTAATTATTAATTATAATTGATAATAATTGTTATTACGAATAGGTACGTAGATTATAAACTTCGAGGTTCTTATATATTATACATCGTTCTTGTATATTTTTTTATAAATAAGTTTAAAGATATAACTCGATCATGAATTATTTACCCTTTTTTTAACTGCTTTAAGAGTGTTTTGTAATTGTTTTGTAGTACGTTCGTATCAATAATGAAGTACTCCAGATTTATGAGTAACAAATATGTCACGGTCAACCTGTACGTGCACCACCTGCTATAACATTAATTGATCTTGACATAGTATAAAATAAAGTCGCTTTTTTGTGTTGTACGGTTAGATCTTTTAAACTAAGCAACGGATTTTATTGCGGTTTAGACCAATAGAGAGATTAATTCAAGAGGAAGGATTATATGTAGAATACATGCATATTATAGTAGAGAAAAGCCAAGAATATCAAAGATTTGTCGTAAATAAACACGTTTTTGTACGTTTACATCACAAACGCTGGCTAAATCTTACGAGACAGACCAAAATAATGTACTATGCAGTCGATTAAATACACACATTTTGAGAGTGGATGGCTGTCTCCCTCAGTCATTCTGTGTTGCAAGCGCTCTAGCCGGCGAATGCAACTAATGTTGCACAAACTATTCCGGCGCATACACCGCTTTACTAACGCAGACATTTTAAAAGTCCATAAATTTACATCAGGGTTTTATGAAAAAGCTTTCATTGAGAAGGCGAAAGTAACTCTGACTTCTGGTTTTCATG